AATATATTTATCATCTAGTTAGTTTATCTTAAAAGCAATTATTATATACAAATAATATACAATTATATACTAATAAAAAGAAAATATATAAAATATTATACCTATTAATATTACTTCAATTTAATTAAAAATTAATTATTAATTTTTTTTAAATATTAAGGTTAGTACTTGTGACTTAGAATTTTATTAATAGTATATTTAGCTAATAGATGCATTATAACTACAGAAGGCAATTATAAAAAAACATACAACTAGTTACTCATACAAATTTAGTTATTGTCTAATTTAAATAATTTATCTGAAGATTTTATACTAGTTGTCATATCTGAACCTTTTTGTAAGTTTTCTATTTAAACACTTTAGTTTTTGTATCTATCCATCTATTTATGTCTATTAATGACCTTAATTAATACTAATAAAAATATACCATAATTGCTAAGTCTTTAAAGCAATTTATTTATATAAAAAACCTTTAATCTTGTACTAAAACTTTTAGAATTTTTTATATTTTATTTTTATAACTGATTTAGTAATATTATAACTAAAACTAATATTTGCAGTCAGGATATATTATTAAACAGTTATGCTCTTGTAGAATTTACCTAATTCTAATACTTACTTCACAATATATTTTTACTACTTTGATATTCAATTCAAGTTCTATCAAGTTTTTAGTTCAGATAATCTAAACAAATAAATATAATCATATCTTTGGTTTACATTTTCTTCAGCATATAACTTTTTTTTTCAGAATAGATCCTAGCAGTCTTGCTAGTTATAATGTTCTTTTCTTAAAAACCAACTTGTTTTTATCTAGCTTCACAAGTTCTAACTCTGTTTTATAGATTTAGTCTTTATAGCAGCATTATTAAAAGTTCAGACTACCTCTCTATTTAGATCTTTTAAGTAGATTTTTGTTTTTCTGGTTTTTGTAATCTATATAACTACAAGGACTTATTATAGATTTATACCACCTGATACTGGTTGTTTTTTTTATACAAAGTACAACTATTGTACAAATGTTATGTAACCTTTTAGTTATGCTAGTATAATACAAATAATAGATATCTTATTCTAATCAATAGTAAAAAACAGTTGACTATAATACAGAAAGAATTTCAAAATTTTGCTAATACTAGAATTTAAATTTTAGGCTTGTTATTTGAGAGTTGATAACATGTTTATTTTTACTATATCACAATAACCTTATTAAAAATTAATTATAAAATATTAGATAAAATATTTTTATTATATATTAAAATAACTTATATATAAATATATATCTAAAAAATTTATAATATTTATATAATATATAGTATATTGTATTATAACACTTACAAAATAAATTTCAAATATAAAACCAAAAATAGATTAAATAATATTTTATAATTTTATTAACTAAAATGCTAAATATTAGTAAACTTATATAACTACAATATTTACAAATTAAAGCATTTAAAATCAAAATTTTAATTAATAAATTATTTATAATTTTTAATTTAAATATTATAATCTAAATAAATATTTAGATCTAAACTATCTAAAATATTAAAATAATATAAAAATTTGTTTTAACAATATAATAACAATAAAATAAATTATTTTTAAAACAATAAATACTAATATAAAAAAACTAAATATTAATTTAATTAAAATTATTAAAATTATTACAAATATAGTTTAACTTTTCTATAATTATACTTTTAGAATACAAAACTTTATGATTATATAAAAATGTAACAATTATAAAGATATCTTTATATAGTTACATTAAGTTATTAAAAATTTTTAAAGTATTGTTTTTTTAATATTAAAGTAATCTCTTTGATCTTTTGACTTTTATTAATAATTTTTTTTATAATATGATTTAATAAACTATTGCAGAAGAGTATATAATTGGCTATATATAACTTTTTATATTACCTATTTAAGGAGTTTGCTTAAAGATTCTTTATTAATTGCTATATTTAACACCTTTGCTTAGATGTTTCAATTTAAATTTTCTGAATCTGCAACTTGTATTAATATTACTAGGTCATACTCAGATGTTCAGATTATTGTTTTAATCTTAGAACTATTTTATTTTTAAAATAAACCTTCTAGAGCCTTCTGTACTTATTTTTATAGCTAATCTAATATTATTATAGCAGAACTAATATTTGTAATCAGAATTATATTATTTAATTGCCATATCTTTGTAGAGTTTACTTAAATTCTAACATTTACTTTACAGTATAATTTCAGTACTTTAGTATACCTTTACATTTTTACCAGATTTTCAATCCAAATAGTTCATATAGAACTACAATTAGTTCATTATTATATTAGATCAATCTGATATTCTTTTTTTTTAGTTTATTTTAAAAGCCTAATTAATAGTATCTCTGAAACTTTTAATCTAGAGATTCTTGTCTATCCAAATATTATGACCTTGGTATATATTTTTTCAAGCTAATCTTTACAGTAGGATTATCAAAAATCTGACTATCTTTATATTTAGGTTTTCTTAAATAAACTTCTTGTTACCTAATTTTTAAAGTTCTTATTTATTATCTATTTATCTATTTATTTATTGGATATTTAGATCTAAATTTATTCAGATATCTATTTTATTATTGTTATCTAAATAATTATTTAATATTTGTTAATTTATTCAGATATCAATAGTAAATAAATATCTGAATAAATTCAGATATAAATAAATAGATAACAGATTTATTCAGATTGGAACTCTACTAATTTTAACAAATTTATATGACCACAAGGACTTATTTAATGTTTGTACTACTCAATTGTCTGTTTGCATATTTCTGTGTAATATTATACTTATACAAATACTTTATGACCTGTCAGCCATACTAGTATGACCATCATTACAGGTATTCTAACCAATCATTGGTAACAGTTGCTGTAATATGACTATTTTATAAGTAATTATCCAAATTTTTATTATTGTTAGAATTTAAATACCCAATTTACTACTTGGAAATTGACAATCTGACCACTTCACTAGGTTATCATACTCCCTAATTTTTAAAATAGTAACTAATAAAATATAATATATTACTTAATAATTTTTTTATTAAAAACTTTTAAAATAATAATGCAGTAGTTAGCACTTTAAAATTGCAATTGCAAAAATACAGTTTCAAATTTAGCATTATTAAAAAAAGTAATTATATAAAGAATTTATTAAATAGTTTTTTTAAAAGAAATTATTTAATTGATTAATAATAGTTCTATATAAAAGTTAAAACTTTATTAAATAAATTGATTTTTTCATATTAAGTAATGTTGTTTAAAGAAACAAATACATATACTATAAAATTTTTAATATTTTTAAATTGTTTTTATTAATTAACTTAACAGTTTACATTTTTACAAAAAAAAATATTTTTTTTGTATAAAATAAATTGTAAAATTTAATTAGTAAAAAATTTTTTAAAAATCTAAAACTTTTATAATATATGTATTTTGTTCTTTTAAACAAGTATACTTAATATGAGAAAATCAATTTACTTAATAAGTTTTAATTTTTTATATACATTTGTTTGTAATAAGTTTGAAATTTACAAAAAATTCTACCCTTTTTTTGATAATTTTTTCGACCATATAACTATACTTGCTGCCCAAATCCTAAACACGGAATAAATTAATCTCTCAAAAACTTTATTATTAATCTTTATTTAAACAAATTAAATATATTCTTATAGTTATACAGAATATATTTACAAAGTATATCAACCCTATTTTTTTCATCTAATTTTTTATAAATGACGATTTTTTTGAGGGGGTACTGATTTGGACGGCAAGTATACATATAACTGAAAATGATATTAACTGAAAAAGAAATAAACCAATCAGAGATGGTATTTTCTCTCAGCTAAATATCAATGTCAGACTCCGATGTTTTTTTAAAACAATAAAAAATGTATAAAAAACTGTTTAACCCGTTTTTTTACCATCCCTATTTGTGTAGACATTCTAAAGCTTTATTTGGTACTTTCATGTTAATTTCAATTGCCAATATACATCATATATATATGTATATGAGAATATGATTCTTTATATATAATACGATGTTTATTTTTTTTGACTAGATTATGGTTTAAACCTATTTTTTTATTCCTATTTCAGTACAAGTTATATTTTAGTTGTTTATATTTTATATTACTTCATCAATAACAAACCTCTTGATTATATAAATTATATATTATCGAATTATATCGATATATATATTATCGGAATTCTTTAGTTTGCAGATCTAATTTATTTAATCTTTATAGAATTTTCTAGTTTACTAACTATTACGCTAATGTATCACGGAAGCATAACGAATAACCCTGCGCTTCATAATTAGTTAAAAAAAAAACAAAGCAAATCGTTAAATCGGATTAGTTAATTCGTAAATTTCTTTTTTTGGTATAAACTAAAAGCCACACTCATTGTTTTCGAAACAGGTTTTAAATGCAACCGGAAAATGTGTAAAGTTAGAATTAGGGTTAGGATTAAAGTTTTAGAGTGGAATAGTTTCTTTATGCTAATTTTTAAGTTAGGAGCAGAACGAACGTTTTTTTTGATCGTGTTAATTCTTGAAATATGATTCGTAGATCACCAACCTATTACACATTGAATCAAAAATGACGTAGATTAAACCGACTTCACAAGAATGTTTAACTTTTTATGTATTAATGATAACCTGTTTATGTTTTAAAACAAGCTCATAAGATCGGGTAAATCATATTATGCATTAGAATGTGAATTATTTATTCACAGCGCATAATCAGCGCATAATCGGAATTGAAAAATAGAAAGTATATCGATACATATACTTTGTTTTATATACATATATAATAAAAAAATAGGAATTTATCTTTTATAACCTGAAAGTTTAAATTATGATTATATATAGTCAAAAAAATGAGAAATAATTTTGGCAATTCATTTACTAATTTCTTATTATAGAATACATTTTAGTGTCATGTTTTCCTAAGTGTTGAATGCGTGGAATTCGTGAGAATATTGTAGCGGCAGTTACCGGGGTATACCTCCGGTACACCTGTTTTTCATTTTTCATTTTAATCACTGTATCACACCAATAGGTTACTAGCCTGCCATTTACATAGTTATTGTTTCTAAATATGATCTAACTAATAGTGAAAAAAGTATAATAAAAACATGTCAACCACAATTTGGTGTAATCAAACGTTTCAATTTTTTTTAATTCGTATCATCGATATGGCTCTTAAGAGAATCAATAGAGTAAAAATAATTTCTAGATATTTTGAAATGTTTTTGATTATTATTTTATTAAACTTTAAGAATTTTATTAATTATTTTTAAACCATTTTATATGACGTATTATGAACGGTCACATAATTTGTGTTTTTGTCTTTTTTTTTTTAATCGTTAGGAATTGAAAGAAATAGAACGAGATTCACCATCATTTTGTAGTGCTGGTCCTATTGGTGAGGATATATATCAATGGCAAGCCACGCTTCTGGGACCTGTAAGTATTTATTTCCCTTTTGATATATCCTTAAGTGTCATAGTCTTATCACATAACTATTTATATACTATACATAGGATGATGGCCCATATGTTGGTGGTGCATTCACCCTTAATATCCAATTTCCAACAGATTATCCATTCAAACCACCTAAAGTATCTATTTTCTGATGATAGTTATCAATTAATATATTATTGATAAATTATTATTATTATTTTTTTAATTTTTATATACTGGTTTTATTTACATGTGTATAATATTTATAGGTAAATTTCACAACTAAAATTTATCATCCAAATATTAACAATAACGGTGAAATATGTTTAGATGTTCTAAAAGATCAATGGTCACCTAGTTATAATATCGTTAAAGGTAAATAAATTCTCATTCAATACAGTATATAAATAGGGGTAAACGAAACATTTTCTTGTGCTCTCAGTATAACTAGTTATCGGTTATAATCAATTTACTAAATTTTGAAATGATTTTTTTCTTTTTGAACTATTAATTGAAGTTGTTTAGAATTAAAATTCTATACATGCTATTCTATAAACAAAAAGTATGATACCATCACCAAAATTTAAGAATTTAAAAATTTTTCATCGCTTATAGCCAGTTATACCCGGTGATTAATTTTAAAATTTTAGATTTTATTTATAAGATAGTATAAATAAAATTTAATTCTAAGCAACTTTAATTAATAGTTTAAAAAGAAAAATCATTTCAAAAATTTAGAAAAGTGATTACAATTGATCGCGAACAATTCCATCCCTATATCAGTACAGTCCCTTCTATTAAGACTTAAATCCAGTATTGAATTTCTGGGTTTCATTTACCAACTATTGCAATATGTATAAAAAAAATTTTTTTTTTTCGCATTCAACATTTAATATATTTCATTTTTTTTTTTCAGTGTTTGAATATATTCATACATTGTTGAGTAACCCTAATATAGGTATATATTAAACCTACATAATTTTATTATATAAATAAACATTCAAGTAATTTTTTTTTTTTTTTACTATTTTAATTAGATGAACCACTTATGCCTGAAATTGCTCATATTTATAAAACCGATCGTACACGTTATGAAGCATATGCTCGAGAATGGACACGAAAACATGCTAGTAAGTTTTTACAAATTACTCAATATTTCCTTTCCTTTTTATTCATTATTTTCATTAATCTAAATAAAACTTTTTATTCAATACTTTATATAGTGTAAAAATTATAATGGTGTAGAAATTACTTTTAAGGTCTTTGAGAAAATTTCCTAGTGTATTTATAAAATTTTCCTTGTATGTTTATTTGTCAAGTAGCACTTTAAAAGGCCTTTTTTAATTCTTTATAATCGTTATAATTAAATTTTGATAAACAAAGCTTTCAACTTTTAAATTTATTATTATTTATTATTAACTTACCCTTTTTGAAGGTTTAGATTATATTTTTCTTATTACATGTATTTTTTTGACAATTTGTTTTTTCTTTATTATAAAATAAGTCCTTACTCAACTTATTTTATTTGTTATTATTATCCAAAGTTTTTACATTAATTGATTCTGTTAGTATAAAAAAATGAATGCAAAGACAATTATTAAAGTAATATTATCGTGATATTGCCGTGCTTGAAGTTGAAATTGCTAACTAACGCGGGCAAGGAAGATCTAATTTCAGGGTTAATTTTAGTTAGTGTGCCTAAATTGGTAACTTCAAGTAGATGTCAACTTCAAACATGACAATATCATGAGATTGTTTTTATCACGAGCACTTATTAGAGTTCCTATCCATTATCTGTTTATCCATTTATCTATTGGATATCCAGATCGGATATCCGTTTTACTATTGATATCCAGATATATTTGTCGGATTATCCGGATATCAGTAGTAAATGGATATTCGGATAAATGGATAGCGGATTTATCCGGATTGGAACTCTAGCGCTTATATTGCAGTTCTGTCGCCAAGAAGTCTATCCAGACAGTATTAAAGATTACCACATGCTAATATTACTTGACATTCATCCATAGTATTAACTGCGTGTAAAGTTTAATACATACAATAAGTAAGAATAATTAAGTTAAAGTCTGTATAGCATTGACAAGAACCCTTCGTACGAAAGTATCGAATAGTGTAATAAGTCATGCGTTTTTAAATTCTTTCTACACGCACATTTTATTTGCAGACTTTATCTTCCCTCGTTATGATAGGCACAATTTACATGCTTTTCTTTTTCATATATTAAAATTTTTTTGTAACTTGCTTATATTTTTATAATAGAATGATATGAAAAAAAATGGTACTACAGTTAAATTCATTCATTATGTGCATATCAAATAAACTATTGGGCAATCCATTTTTTCTGAATTTGAAATATTTTATATTCAATTGCGGTCGATAAACAGAGATCACGATCACTTATTTTTTCGTATACAATGACTACAATATACTTGAACACGAGTGAAATTTTCCTTCATGGTCAAACCACCAAAACGTAGACCGTTAAAAGTCTGGAGTAAGAAGGTTTGAGTCTTTGTTGCTTTTTCCAATTTAAGAAATTTATGCAATATGGTTTCCATAGTTGTTCGTAACATAGTTCATTGAACTCAAGTAGTATCTTAAAAGTTTTAAACAGTTTGGAAAAACTATAACTGCAATTTACCAAATCAGATTTTGATTTATCCCACCCAATAGGATTATAACCACCAACAATTTCATCTGCATTATGAATGATTAAAAGAATCTTTTGTTGTTTATCACATAAATTCTAAAATGGTTCTTTAGTAAGACCATCTCTTGTTCCACGAACAAGTAATTTAAATTTATATGGATTATTTGCTACGTACTGTATATGTTTATTAACCCATGTTGCAATTTCAGCCACACTAATTTCATTAATAACTGTAATGTTGGTATTAAAATTTTACGAGGTTGAAGAACAACTGATGATATCTTTCTATTTGGTATAATAAATCTTTCGAATATATCATCCCAAAGATTTTCATCAAGGATTTTTTTATATGGCTTCACTTCGTCAATAATATCTTCATTGGACATTTGAAAATAACGAATAAAAAGTAACCAATTCTGTAAAATTGTCTTTAGAATTAATAAAATTATCCAGAGTTCAATCATTAGGATCAGGTAGCATTATCTTATACCCAAAAACTGCCAACTGCTAGACTTTTCTGGAGGAACATGGAAAGAACAAGTCAATCGAATCTTAAAGTTCTTATCCAATCCTGGACGTACTCGATCAGATAATAAATTTATACTTTGAGTGATACCCCATTTAATAATATATTCACAAATTTTCCCTTCGTCCATTTGTAAATCATCTCTTTTAATGAGCACTTTCCGGAAGAGAAATGAAATCTTCTGATTCGAAAACTTTTTCGTAATGTTTGAAACTTTTCATTTTGAAAACATTTGCGATAGATACTTGCAAAATGTAAACGGAGCCAATGTGCATTCTCCTTCGATTAACAAATCCTCGAGATGTTCGGCAATAAGAGTGAGTTCAAATATAAATGAAACATCTTTATTTTCTAGCAACATAACACCTCCGTAAATATATCTTTATTAAATTAGTATAATGATTTAAAATTAGTTTTTTCATGTTAAATTTAAATGGGTTAAATGGTTTGAATGGATTTAATGGATTAAATGGATGTTTAAATAAAGGACTAATTTTTTTTTACTAGTCCAATGAAATTTATAACTTGATAATTATTTCAAATTGTTGAGTAGAAACATGTTTAAATTAATAGCTTTAATAATATTTTTATATTCAAAATTCGCTAACTCATTTCGAAAATACAAAGACTTATATTTGTATGTGCTTGGAATATTTTGATGGCTGATGATTTTCCAATATTAATAATTACATTAAAATCTTTATCATCAAGAAGTTCATCATTCGAAAATGCTCTACCATTTTTTGAAATATTATCGTTATTACTGTGTTACGTATAATTTTGTGTCATTGTAACCCATTCATTTAAATAGAAAAGATTGTTACACACACTCAGGGACAATGATTTTCTGTACGTAGAATGCAGGGTATACTAAGTTAAATAAGTATTAATTAACGTTTTTTATTATTTTAGAACGAATTTATATGAAGTGTCCAGGGGACTGCGATGCATAAATCTGCTCACTCTAAAAATATTTTTTCTATTGTTTTTGTAAGATAAAAAACGTGACTTTAATCATTTTTAAAAACCAAGTACAATACAAGAAAATATTTTTAGAGTGAGCAGATTTATGCACTGCAGTCCCTGGACACTCTAAAGTGTTTCATAGATAAGTAAATTTTATCTTCATTAATTATATACAATCTTTACTAAAGTATTTGTACGTAGAGTATTTGTAATTGCATTTTTTAATCATTATAATAACGATAAGAATGTTAGGCCCCTGAAATTAGATCATCTGAACCTTGAATGCTTAATTAGGTAAGTACAACTTCATGACCTGAGTTGAAACTCCAGGTAGATGCTCACACGTATGACATAACGAAATTCAATTTATATATACAAGTTTTATCCTTTTTTATTAATTTATATTTGTCAATTTTTTTTGAACTAATATTCTACGTAGATGAGAATTGGTAAATATGAATTTACCTACATACGTACATATGAATGTACGTATGTACGTATTTAGCTATTCAAACTCATTAACGTTAAATATTTTAAATAAATTTGATATACAAATTTCCTTATTCCTATTTTTATTTAGTTGTGCAAATCATGTGTATAGTACTACGATCAAAATATCATACAAATTGGGAATCATTATACATCCTGTTCAGAACATTTATATTTTTTTCTTCTCTTCGGTTTCTTATTTACTGCGTGAAAACAATAAAAAAGTTTACTTATTATAAGTAAACTTATCATTCTTTTATATAATAATAATGTCTTTTTATTGTTCTATGAGAAAAATATTCACAAGACAAAGGTGCAAATTGAGGTAAATATACTTTATATAAATAAAAAAAGGTTACGATAATTATTTGATAATTATTATTGTTTTTTTTTTTTAATTATAGTTGCGGGTCGAGATCTGTTGCATCTAAAAATAATGATAGCATTGAAAAGACTATAGAGAGGCTATGCATCCTTTATAATAAAGAAAGGCTAAAAGGAACAAGTGATATGAAAATACTTGACCAAATTGAACAGTTAGTTGAAACCGAACAGAAGAGACCCGAAGATATTATTAATTGGTGTTTAGATAATCGAAATTATGATAATACAACACAATGTAAACGCATTATTCAATGTATTCTCTCAGATTGTTATTTTAATGGAAAATGGGTTTCAGAAGATAAAATGAAAGCTTTTGAACTCAATCGAAAATCAGCAGAGAATGGTTATGTTGTAGCGTACTGTTGCCTCGGCTATTGTTATTTAAAAGGTATAGGGACTGAAATTAATCATATAAAATCATTCAAATGCTACCGTAAAGCAGCTAAAGAAGGATGTGCTATGGCTTATAATGGCTTGGGTGTTTGTTATAGTGACGGTATAGGAACTCGAACTAACGAAAAGAAAGCATTTAAATATTTTAAAAAGGCTGCTAAAGAAGAATTCCCTTTAGGACAATTTAATCTTGCAACTTGCTATCAATATGGTGAAGGTGTTAAGGTGAATGGTAAAAAGGCTTTTGAAATGTATCAACAATCTGCCACTGGTGGTTATTACCCAGCGTATAAAAAACTTGGTGATTGTTATAATAAGGGAATAGGAATAGAAATTGATGAAGAGAAAGCTTTTGTATATTATAAAAAAGCCATAGGTGATTAACCACAAACTTATTAATATATGCAAATTATTTATACATCCATCAATATTATCTATGTAGTTATATATTCTAACGCTAATTAGTGATACCTTATTAATATCAACTCTTTTATACAATTACACCATTATTAACGATAGTTTTAAAAAAGCTTCCAACCTTAATCCCCTTCATTATCCCTTCCTATGTTGATATTAATGAGGAAAGACTTCATTTTATTTATTCATGTTTGCTTAAAATTAAATAAATAAACATTAAGTTTTTATGTGTATTAATTTAGACAAATTATTATGGGACATATCATACTAAACTTCTTTATTTATAAAACTTGGACACGCACCTTCCTTTATTCAAGAACAGTTAGAACTTTTATATATCTCGATCTCGATTTAATTACAACAACTTTATTCTATTGCTCAAGACGTGGCCAATATCTTCTCAATAGTGATGAGCAATTTGCAAATTTCTCCGATATCGATGTACCGTGTTGGATGCATATCACACACGCGATCCGCGTGTAATGTACATAATGCTATACGCGGGATAGAGTTTTCTGGTCAAATTTTGTAAAATAATTTATTGATACTACTTTTCATTATCATATTTTCCTAGATAATGCTCCCTGGGCCATGTACGTACAGCAGATCTTTATATACGTAGAAATATCATTTATCAAACCAAATTTACGTACGTGCGTACGTACGTATGTACATACTGTTAATGTGGGCCGCTGATCTGAATTTCACTACGTACGATAATGCATGAAATCCCATGCGGACTACGTACAGGCTATCAAGCCACATTATATAATAGCATTGATTCACAGGTTATACGTATCGTAGATAAATAATGATAAATATTACATAAGCAAACATTTAGCATTGATTCACATGATACCATGACTTTTAATTATCTTGTCTGAAAATTTTATGAATGTGATTAATCTAAAAGTAAACACCAGGGACAGTGAAAAATATCGATTAAAAAATATTTATCAATACAGTATAGTCGATTTATATCGATTTACCGAGATTGACCAATCAGAATGCACAATTTGGTGTAATACAATATAACGTGAGCAGTAATTTTTCTGTTTTACGTTTCCGAAACTTACCGACAGTTTTCCGGCCCAAATTATACACTTGGTTTTGCCAAATTTTTCGGGGGGGGGGGGGGTTGAGACGGATTCGGGTACAGAACCTAAAACCGACTCGGGTTTTCGGACCGGGTTCGGGTCTTTAAAAACATCCCCCCCCTCCGGCCTTTTCGGAATACTAATTATGCCACATTAAAAATTGCAAAAATATAAAAATATCGATTTACATATAACAGTACAATCAACCTAAATTGATAAAACCAACAAATTAGCTACGTACAAGCAATACGAAAAAAATAATTACTAAACTAAATCATCCAAATTTATTTATAACATTTATAACATTTTTACACATTATTTAAATGATAAATTTACAAAAATAAATAAATAAATAAATAACATTAAAAAAATTTGATACAATGACAACATTGCCACCAAATATATGGCTGACTTAATAAAGTAGCATGTAAACACATCATTTACATAATGTAATATCGACTTTTTCTTAAGAGGTTTCTGTCGGTGTTGGAGCTACAGAACTCACATCGCTAGCCCTAGATTGGTCTCTTGGGGCGCCTGATTCATTCGCAGTGTTCGCAGGTCTGACCCTTGCGGTAGCCGAAGGTCTAGTTCTAGTTCTAGTTCTTGTAGTAGTAACTTGACTCAAGATTGGGCATGAGATAAGTAGTAAAAGAAATAGAAATGCCAAAATTTTTGATGTCATCGTAGAGTCGATTACAAATAAATATGTATATGCAAGGAAATATATATATATATTATTATTATTATTCAAGCTTAGAAAGCGAAAGGGAAAATTGTTCGAAGCTTTTATCATTTATTAAAACATATATGATACATAATTAGAAACTTCGAGGCTAAGAGTTCCGCGTGGCTAAACGATATCGAATACGGGACGAATTCCTGAGATGACAAAATTATTATGCTAGTAATCGTGGCTGTGATTATTAAATCTGTTTCGAATTGTGTTTGTGGCTTCATTTTAACTAGAAATAATATTCATTATTCGTTTAAATAAATCGATGTTCTCAACAATTATTCGGATAAGATATTAAAGAATTATTATCGTTATCGTGCAGACGTTAATAATCAAGAATTTTATCTCGCATTTTGATATAAACATTATAAGCCCGAATTAAAACTCCTTCAATTAATGATGATTTATATGATGAATAATTCGATTTAATTATCTGAAATTAGAATTATTAAGTAAAATTTGGATTATCCGGAGAAAGTTCTTTCTTGAAATTTCAAGCATCAAGCTTTCTGAAAGAAATATCAAATCAGAAAATGTAAACTTTATTCATTTCAGACTAACCCGCATAACGATAAATTTATATAATAAGGGGCTGTTCTTTGACTTTTATTAGCTATATAGGAAATTAATCTTTTTGATAGAAAATGTATCTTCGTATCACTCATAAAAACGAGTGACAGTTTCCCTTGATTTTGTAAATTCTTTTTTTGACTGCATCAACGACTTCATTGGTTAACTTCTAGATTTAACTTGATTATATTGATTTGTTGGCTTGATTATTGTTCATTGAATAATAATTGTGATGCATACATATTCAACGTTGCAATTTAAATACTTTGCATCATATATTGGTGTTTGACTAATTATATAGTATAAAGTAGATTTTAGTAATACAATTGGCTACTTTAGTATGCATTGTTGAATAACCCGGTCACTGTTTAAAATAATTAAGGATAGGGATGAATTCCATTTAACCAATAAAATGATTAGATGTTTAAAAAAAAACCGGACCATTTTTATATAGACCAAACCAAAAAATAAAATAGGCCCTATCTTATTAAAAACTGAATCGGACCAAACTAGTTCACCGCAAAGTCAATTAAAAGTTTGAATTTCAAAACAAATATTTGATCAAGTCAAATTTGATAAATTTGATTTGATCAAATACTTTATTTGGAACTCAAACTTTGATTTGATTTTGTGGTGCGTATTTTTACACTACCTTAAAGTTTATGACACATATATAACGCACATGTTTTAAATGCAAGTTACCGTGATTAACTGTCGATACGTATTTTTATCACTATATATATTTAAAAATTTTTAATAAATAAAATATATACCATCAATAGATAGATTTGAAGTAAATTTTACAAAAGAAGATAGGTTTTAAGGATCAGGAGAAATTGTCAATGTTAAAGTAATCAAACATGTGAAGGATATAATTGTAACATAGATTACAAAATGATTTGTAATTTTTTATATTAATAAAATTAGACAAACCAAAATAAGTTAAATTTAAAAATTGTAATAAACTTTAAAGTTTTTTTTGTTTTAGTAATACAAGTTCTAAATAAATATTATATATACTAATAATGATGTATTTTTGATCAAATTTAATAAAATTATAGAGTTCATATATATAGTTACTTAATACACATAAAATAGTTTTATAATTTATAACTTATTATATTCATATCTTTAAAATAATATTTATAATTTTAAAATCAGTTTTATAATTAGATAGCAATTAAATAATTCTACATATAATTTATAATTTTATAAAATTTAATTAAAAATATTATTTTACAAATCATAATTATTATTACGGCTAATGCTAAAATTGACTGATGCCAAAATTTGAACCTGTTTTGATATGAAATTTTAAATTTTTTTGGGATGTTTTCGTCCGATTTTTTTTTAAGTTAGGTTAGAGTTTAAAGTTAGGATTAAAGTTAGGGTTAGGGTTAGATTTGATATTTAAAAAGTATATATAGATTTTATAGTTCAAATCAAGATTCCAAATTTCAGCATCAGCTGTAAAATAATTAAAATTTTTATTAATTTAATACTTATATTTTTATTTTAATTAAACCTAAATAATTTGTCTACTCTTCTAATTTTTGTTAAGTTTTTTTTACTATATTATATTAAATATTTTGCATTATATATATAATTTTATATATTTTGCAAAATTATTGTATATTGTTATAAATTTAAGGATTTTTAAATTTATTGTATTCTTTTTATTGTTTAAAAATTTTATTTATAAAATCATTTTTAGAGTTTTAATAAAAAAAATTCTTTGTAAAATTTTAATATATATATTTTTTTTTAGTATGAAGCAACAATTTTACTTGTATTTTTTATTAAGTAATTACATGTTTATATACAATACACAGGTCAAATGAATGAATAAAGAGTGAATAATAGGCAAATAACAGAAAAAAAAACTGTCATTATTCTATTCTATATCTGCCAAATAATGGCAGCATAACAGCAGTATAACAACAGAATAACAGTAAAATAATAGAAGGTTTGTCAATATGAGTAACATAATAGTAACATAATAGCAAAATAATAGAACAGTTCTATTA